ATAGAATTAAAATAGAATAGGAATAATAGAATTAGAATAGAATAGAATAGAATTAAAATAGAATAGAATAGGAATAGAATTAAAATAGAATAGGAATAATAGAATTAGAATAGAATAGAATAGAATTAAAATAGAATAGAATAGGAATAGAATTAAAATAGAATAGGAATAATAGAATTAGAATAGAATAGAATAGAATAGAATAGTATAGAATAGAATAGAAGCGGGAAGGGACCTTTGAGGTCTTCTAGTCCAACCCCTTGCCCAAGCAGAGTTTTTTCTATACTAAGAAGTATAGAGAGAATGAGAGAAAATAGAATAGTGAAGAATAGAATCAAGAATAGAATAGAATCAAGAATAGAATAGAATCAAGAATAGAATATAGAATAGATTAGAATACAGTAGAATAGAATAGAATCAAGAATAGAATAAACAGAATAGAATATAGAATAGAATAAAGAATAAAAAAGAATAGAATACAGAATAGAATAAATATAATATAGAACAGAATAGAATACAGAATAGAATAGAATAGAATAAAGAATAGAATAAAGAATAGAATACAATAAATAGAAACCCCAGACCATTTCAGACAAAGGGCTGTCCAGTCTCTTCTTCAAAACTTATATCTTTTGATTTTTCCCTGCCTAAATTTTAACTAATTTTAAATTTTGTAATTGTTTTTGGTGTATTTTAAATTGATTGTCAGCCGCCCTGAGTCCGCAAGGAGAAGGGCGGGATATAAATTCAAATAAACTAAACTAAACTAAATGTAAAACTTTGTTTTTCTCCACATTAAAAAGACATTTTGTCGGATAGGGCCCATGGTTTGTGTTTGTCAAGATCTTTTGGGGATCCCGAGCTTGTCTTCTGGGGGGGGTGTCGGCTGCTCCTGCCCGTTTGGGGTCACCTGCAAAAGTGATGAGTTCCCCCCCCCCCATCTGTCGTCGAGCAGGGGGTCGGCCTAGATGACCTCCGAGGTCCCTGCAAACTCTGTAATTCTGTAAGGGTTTCCTGCTCGGCCAG